ACAGGAGTGAGGAAAAAGAAAAATAGGGAGAGATAAATTAAATTTAAATATTGTAAGAGAAGAAAAAAAACAATGTGAAATAAGATATTCAAATAGGTAATGAGAAAACTAAATAATAGCAATTTGGACAAAACAGAGGACAAATGTACTACACACTAAAATAGTCACTGATGACTGAATCGAAACTTAATACTAAAATAATCAAGATAAGAGTTACTAAAATAACCCTATAATAGAAATATAATATAATGTTTAAAGAATAAAGGGAACAGTGTAAACTGAATGTAATATAGTTTAATGTAAAATAAATATAAGAGAGATTTGGCCTGGCTCTCAAGTATGGGTGAAGGATTTAAAGGTTTAGGTCTGGACAATTGGATAGGGTAACTTGTACTAGCGAATAAGAGGTACTAAAATATTGTTTAAAATGTGTTTAGTGGACAAATTATCAAAGAATAGAAATAAAACTGGTATAACTAAGGCTAATGGATAGTAGTTGAAACTCAAAGTTGCTTATGGTGTACTAAGGACAAAAGATTTTCTAGCTTAGATTAATATAATAGAGTAGGGTCAATTTTTTTTTTTTTTTTTTTAGTAATGAACAACATAATACACAATTGGATATACATGATTATAAAAGAAAAAAAGGAAAATGACTTAGATCATATTGTGCGTTACAATAATAATGAAATTAATTGAGTAGACTGGCAAACTAGGCTAGTTGCTACCAAATTATTAATAATAAATACTATCCATGCTAGAAATACATTAGTCAATGGAATTAGTATAAATAATTGAATAATGTTATTACTGAATTATACTGTTCAAAATTAGTTTTTATTCACCACGAAATTAATACTATCTAGACAATAACACGACATTACCAATTGCCGAGCAGTTACACTTAATTATATGATGTTCACAATAACTAATTCATTTACTAATGTGTTAAATAGTACTATTAATGATTGGTCAATTTTTTACGTCACAACCTATATGGATTACTATCACGATAAAAATCTGTACATATCACTGCAAATTCATATTTATCGCTTTTAAAATACTGATTAAAAATTTAAAAAATGCGAAACAAATAATGCTATTTGTCGCTTTGTCATCGGCTAATACCAGCAGCTTATCGGAATTAGGGTAATTAGTATAGTAAATGAACTTAATGACACCGAGTGCGTTTATTCCATAACAATATTATTTACAATAATGAGAACAGTAATTAAATAAAATGTCAATATATTCCGTTAAATTCAAAATCTTCCATGGAATAAAAATCAACGTGACAATTGAAAAAATAATCGTGCCGGTCCCGAGAGACCGGTTCACGCTGCCCCTCAGCCACCCAGCATAGCATGACCAGTCGGACGTGATGAGGAAGTGTCGCGATCACCATCCAGCGGTAACTCCGGAAATGCGATGCCACCGCGAAAAGCTGCGATAATTTTTCGCGCAATTCAACGAATTGGTGGTGAACTTCTAACTACAGTATCATAACTTCACTACATAGGAAGATTTTTGTCAATCGTAATATTGTCAACAACATGGAACTGTTGAATCATGATGGTTAATCAAAAAAAATATGATAAAGCTTATATATATTGTAGTAATACAAAAATAAGCAAAAAGGCCCTTTTTGGTAATTTATGCTTTATATATACACGGTGATTTTTTTATCATAACCCACTCAATTACTTGCAAAATAATAATAATTTAAACATTTTTTTTAGCTTCGATGCGAAGCTGAAAAGCTATTAATTTTGCTATGATGTTTTTTTTTTTTATGTCTGTTGCCACTTTTTCTCAGCTCTCACTGGACCGATTTCTTTCAAAAATACGTCAAAAGATTACAAATCGTATCTAGTTGAAGACATTACCCTTAAAAATTGAAAAAAATGCCCTAGTTCTNTAGTTGAAGACATTACCCTTAAAAATTGAAAAAAATTCCCTCGTTCCCCGCAAATGGGGGAAATATCCAAAAAAATTACAAATTTAAAAATCGCTAATTTTCGAAATTTTTTCACTTTTTTTTCTTAAAATTTCCATAACTTTTTCAAAAATCAACAAATCAACATAATTTTNCTTAAAACTTCCATAACTTTTTGAAAAATCAACAAATCAACATAATTTTTTTTTTTACTAAAACCTTAGATATTTACCTTTCATTAGATACCATTTTTTTGAAAATCTATCACTTAACCTGCTCATTAGGGGGGATTTAAAATAGCAACTTTTTTACAAAAATTAACTTTTTTAACTTAATTTTTGAAAATGTTCCGGAAATACTGCGTCCTTTAAACATATATCAAATTAAAGCTTATTTTACGTACTATAAAATGAAAAAAAAAATTTGTCCCGACACTTTTTCTTCTACATTTAAACGGCAGCCGTAGTTAAAAAAACGCTATTTTTGTTTTAAAATTTTCGACTTTATATTTTCAACTTAAAAATGCTATAACTTTTTGAAAAATGTATATATCAGCACAAATTTTTTTTTTCTAAATACATTATAAGTACATCTTTCATTTGACATACTTTTTATTAAAATTGGACAATTTCCCCTTATATAGGGGGCGTTCAAAACTTAAAATATTGTAAAAAACATAGATCTTTTTCAACTGAACTTTTGAAAATGTTCCGGAAATACTGCGTCCTTTAAAAATATATCAAATCAAAGGTTATGTTATATACTATCAAATGAAAAAAAAAAAATTTTCCCGACATCTTATCTTCTGTGCAAATGGCTGTCGAAAATTAAAAAAAAATGTAATGTTTGCGATTAAAATTATCTTTTATCGGGATGTACTGTGTTTTTGTACGTAAAACTGCCATAACTTTTTCAAAAATGAACAAATAAAAATAATATTTTTTTGTATTGAAACCTTAGATATTTCCCTTTCATTTGATATAATTTTTTTTGAAAATCTAACA